TACTAATTAATTTCAAAAGGACACGCGTAAGAAATCAGAAAAAAAGACGCGTCGTATTTACTTCCGCTGCTACGAGCAAGGTTCTCTCATTTCCGAGATGGATTCGAGTCTCTTGATGATATAGGAATATTAGAATTTACTAATCTTTCGCTTGATGAGCCTGAATTAAAAGTTATGACATTTATTGAAGATGATATAGAAGTTCAAAGACAAACCACATAAGAAGCTAATCATATCATTCCTTCGATTGAATAGTTGAAACTTCATGTGCTAGATAATTTATGTTTATGCTTTTATTGTTGTACTAGACATTTAATGCTTACTTATATTTTGATAGTATAAGCTACAAGGCTACAAATGATGTTGTTGTCTGATTGCTTTCTTAATTTTTATGTATGATTTATAAATTATAATGCCGTGTCCGCGCCATACCCGTATCCTGTATTTTTAAGAATTGACGTGTCCCGTATCCGTATCGTGTCGTATCCGTATCTCCGTATCCGTATCGGTGCAACATAGGTGATAAGTATTTAAATCCCATAAATTTTAATGTTAATAATGTACTCGAATCAAATGTTTTGTTTTATTAATTTAAATGGTAAAAAACAGTTTTGATATGAACTATAATAAGCGGTAGCAACTCTTGGAATGCATGAGACTTTTCAAAAGGAGGCATCAAAAGTAGAGTGCAACCCTATGATCTTCACCATTCACCCCTTATCTCAAGTAGACAGATTATACATTTTCATCTAATCAAATAATAAGCAACAGCTTTCAATTAACTGTTTGATATAAGTTTAACCAATTTTCTATGGAGTAAAATATCTTATACATCAACTAAGGCTTTGTTTGGGATAGTTTTCTTATTGTTTTCTTATGAAACCCTTTAAGTAAAAGAAAGCTAAATTCTTAAATATCGAGGCGTCTTTTGATATAATGGTTGAAATTTCATTAAGAAACACCGAGTTAAGCATGCTTATGCCAGGGAAATCCTGAGATGGGTGACCTACTGGGAAGTTACACCAACAAGACAAAATTGTGAGGCTCTTAAGCCAAAGCAGAAAAAATCTTGATAGTTAAGAGTTTGAGCTGTTTCAATTTTAAAGTAGCTTTCTAGTACAATTTTTGTTTAAATTAGAAATTTTTGTACTAAAAAACTGTTTTAAAAACAGTAAAATAGCTGTCCCAAATGAAGCCTGATATTTTTACAAACCTGTAGAATATATGGTACATGAACATATGTGTTTAAAGTTTGCACAGCGATGCAAAAGGGAAGAAATATACCTGAGATACAAGTGCATAAAGAGGAAGAGTAACGTAGCAGCACATGAATTGGACAATCACCCTGGAAAGAACCCAACAACAATAAATTTAGCTGTTGAAAAGCCATATTTTTATGAGATAAATTAAGTTCAGATATTGACATGCAAAGAAGAACATTTAATTTTCACTTCGGTCTTTTGTGAACTAGTTTATCAGGACTCTGTTTGTTTAAGAACACTGCTAGTTTAAACTTCTAGGCGGAATTTTATAAAGAACAATATTTCTCCATCCCACTCAAATTTAGCCCTCCTCAACCCCTCTTTAATGATGATTAAATATTATGTTTTATTGAAATAAAAGATTTAAATAATTAAAAGAAAAAGAAAAAGGAATGAAAAACATGTAATGGGTTGAGATGGGGTAAACACAAGCGGGTTAAATGGGCATTTTCCACAAATAAAAATTGATTTATGGGCTGCAACCATTCTCATGCTGTTGAATAAGTAAATTCAAACAAATTGTTGGAAATGATATCATGTTTCTTCCCTCCAAACAACATTATCCTAGTAAATGGTGGTTTAACCAGCTATTAAACATTTAAAAGTTAAACCAAAATAAGCCTTAAGTGCATTGCAGTACTTCTCCTGCATATATTTAAAAAAAAATTACCCGAGATCAGATCTGTTCTTTTACTACATTATAATCAAGTGACATAGTTGAGGCTTTATTTGCTAGTATCTTCGATGAATTAGGACAATGAAAGCTTTGCGTTACTTTTAATAACCATTTTGTACCGGTTCAATCAGACCGGTCCCTTTTTGCAAAACACCGGGCAAGCAAGGCAACAGGTAAGTGAGCTTGCGAGCGAAGCATCAAGCTAGCGAGTAGACGACTACAACTCGAGCGCAAGCGGATTCAAGAGTGATCGTGAGCAGACGAATGCGACTCCTTGTGTGAGATAAAAGTTGATTTCATTTCGTCTAGTAAAGCCAAAGGAGAGAAAGAGAGAGTTCGGGTCTGGAAGAAAAATGTTGTACATGTACAAGAAGTTTGTATTTTCTTTTGCCAGAAATAAGTGAGTAGTTCATTATTATTTTTATTTATTAAAGGGATCGATATGATTCGTATGACGGAGAGTTTTTTATTCTGGCCAAATGTATCAAAATGTCCATCTTAAAAAAGCTATAAATAAATTCTCATTCTCCATGGAAAAGGAGGAGGGAGAGAAAAGAGAATAAAAAAACTATATTGCATTTCTCGGCTATCACCACTGACAACAACTACAAGTAGATGTCTTCACATGTCCAAACTCTATCAATATTTAATCCTATTGTTTGGTTTTTAATTGTACACTTATAGACACCAGATTTTTATAATCCCTACAATGGGAATCAGTTCATTGTTTCCAACATAATCTCTTCTTTTAAATTGTGAAAAAGGGAGGATTTGTACATCTCCAAATCTATAGTGGATTATTGCAATTGGGTCAGATCTCGTGATTTTTTCTCTTTTCCAAATAAAAAGTTTTTCAAATCTCCTACAAGTTTTTTTGTGAGTGTTTAATTTTTGTATATGTGGGCTTCTAAAATTCGCACCACAACCTCTTCCAACCCCCCTTTCTTTCATCTTCATGTTTTCGAGGAGAATTTTAACGAGTATGTTCCGAGGCAATTTTTCATAATGCAGATTGGGTTTTAAATAAGACACTACCCAGAGATTTCTCCCTCATTTTGCGAGAACTTTATGATATGAGTTCTGGTTTCTTATAGGCGCAAGCCTCTATAGTTAATTACCCTTCCAATAATGACAGAGAACTTTCGATTAAGGATAGTCGTCAAACAAATACATAGTATATAGTGTATAGTAGCACTATGGTTTATTTATTTGAGAATTTAACATTTAAAATTAGAAATTTCACCACCTCATACTTAAAGCGGATTGTGGGGGAATGATGATGAGCTCGATCAAGATCCCATGATTCCATCGTCCCGAGTCATCATGGTTCCTAGTCTACTTAGTCAGAGGAGCTAATCGACCCAACCTGACAGAAAGATCCTTATCGACACTCATGGGTTGCATCATCCAAAGGAACTTTGTAGACCTGGAGTTAATATTTATCTAAGGGAACAAATTGGAATCCATCTTAGCTGACAGAGGGTTTTGTGCCCTATCGATTATATCCTATTGATTTATTACTCAATGATTTAACGTCATTGGGAAACATATGGGCTCTGATCATGACCGTAATATAATGGTGTCATTTGGTGGTAAAATCACTTGTTTAAAGGGTCCCGATAAAAACCGTTTACTAGTGGTTCCATTTAATGGTGAAACCATCAGTGTGGCGTCATTTGGCGGTGAAACCACCGGTTAAAGTACATGTGTCATGTCCTTACTGACAAGAGACAGATTGAGAATTAATCCTATTGATATTCTCGACCATACATTAGCTTTTTTTGAGCTGAAATAATTTTTAATTTGCTCATCCTGGCAAACTTTTGCGGAGATGGATAGATATTTTCTTTTAGTGTTTGATGATTTATTTTAATTTTAAATATTTTTAAATTTTGGTATTTTGGGATTTTAAATTTTATGGGCATTTGGGAGGCATTTTAAATATTTGGGGTTCCTCGGGTTGAGATTTTCAATCAATACTGCCATTATTGGGGTTTCCATAGGCAATTTCATTTTAGTTGATTGAACCTTGTCGACCTTGTCAACTCTGTCAATTTGCCGACATAGGATCAGGTTCATATCTCAATTTATTTCTTAATCCGTGCAGCATCCTCAAATGTCACATGTGTACCTACAACACACTCGCCAAGGCCCATGCGAGTGTATGATTTTACATGAATTTTGCGTGATATTTTTCATTTTAAATATTGACATCATTGAGTGCATTTTATAGGAATTTGAAGGTATTTGTGCGCATTTCAATGCATAGGGGCTATTTTTGCAATATTCAGCTATGCAAATGACTATTGCTGAGAAATGTGATGGGTTTCATTTGAGAATTTATAAACGTCTTCTATCCACTTGTATGAGTGTTGCGAATTCGACAGTAATGTGCTATGCTAGGCTTTATTTATCATGTATCGATGATGCAGTTTAACTCATTTTATCTGATGCATGTCACTACTTTCTTTAATGTTCAGCCTGTAGAGATGTACTTCTGTCTGCAAATGCATTGCATGATGCATAAAGGTCTTCCACCTATCATTTGCAAGTAACTTGATTTGTCTGGTGTGATGACCTAGCGTTGTAAGTTTACTGCTTCAGTCCATCAATGGCCCGTAGTCTTTACTATAGATTTCTTGATTTTGCTTATAGGTGAATCATAACATTTCATCCATCAATAGCCATGAGATACTTCATTATTCTAATGTAAGCTCCATCTTCTCGACCTTCAAGAGATCAAATCCACGAATAATCCAATCCTTTGCTTAGACCAGACAAGGACATCCAAATTGTATGAGGTCATTTTGTGACATATGAGGTATCATAATCTGACGAGACCAGAGGCTTGACTGATGCACTGTTGGCTCTCCTCGTCTTCAATTTGTCACAAGATAGTCTCCTCAAAGCATGAATAGGGAAAGACACAAGATAAGTTTTGATATCCCAACGACATTCTAGTATCTGATGTGTACGAGACATGGAAGTTTCTCCCACAGTCTTTGACATGGAAACCAGGAGCAGCTCCCTTCAACCCACAACTGCAACATTTTATGGTGAAAGTGTAGGACATTAGGTTGTGAAGCTTGATCTTCGACTATTTGTCCTTTATTCAAATAATGCGACATTTCTCTAGAAGCCTCAATAGATGATAGCATATATAAGTCTCAATTGTACTTCCATCCGATTGAACTTTGGTGTGCCCTCCCATCGAGACGTCTTTTCAACTAATCATTATTTGACTCTATAGAATCATTCAATCTTACATGCTTAGTGTCATAGTTAGGACATTCCTTTGGTAATACATCGGCGGGTTTTCTCCTTACACCGAGTGGCTTTTATCCCAATTATCACTTATCAGAGTTCCTAGAGTTGTCAATTGGAGGACTTAGATGTACTTGATCGATAAAACTTCCAAGTCCATTGTACACTGAGTGTGCTTCTTCTCAGCATGGTTGTTAATTACAAGGGCTTTTTATAGCATCTCGTACGTGTTTACATTCGATGTATATTAATTGCTTCTACTTGCGAGGGATCAATACATTTTCCTATGAATGGCACGTAGCACGTATGACGAGATTCCTATAGCAGCTCGTAGGTGTTTGTATGTGTTGCAAATCAATCATCTTTGCTTGCAGGATATTGGTGTATTTACTAAAAGATTGGTTACTATTAACTACATGAATACCCTGATATCTGCTACATGCTACATGTACACCTCTGCATATAGCATTATGATTTGCAGGTAGGTTTTGTTATTCGCTATCATGCTGATGTAGGCTACCAGTTGAGCTACATTCATCACTTATTTGTCAACTAGTTACTATTGATTGTAAGCAGGGTCGTGTACTCATCTGCAGAAAGCTTATGCATTGGCTAAATGTTTGATTGACATTTACCGTGAGGATATTTTTATAATCATTGCATGTCTAGCATTTTCATCTATATGCTCCTGTTTATTACCAGTAACATGCATTTATCTTTGATTTCCCTGCACTTATTAGTTGACGAGTTGCTACACTCACTTGTACCTCTTTCAATGTTCGTAGGAACTATTGCATGTATATCAGTTGCAGATAGGTTTAATGTGTTCATTTACATATTACTGTTGATTGTCAGTATGCTGCATTTATTATTGTCCCTCTTGCTTGCAGGATACTATTGATATGATTATTGCACATTAATTACTTGATCTTTGTTTGCACACAAGCAGTGCTTGGAATCTCATTTGTCGCAAGTTCCTTGTTTGTTCATTCATGTTTATTTGAATGACTTGAACTGTTATTTAGCATTTGTATTTTCAAATTAATTGTGCATTTTAGAGTTTAGGGTCCATTCACTGTTGTTTAGTACATGCTCTGTTCCTTGTGCCTCATTCAGGTCCCCTATATTATTGTTCAAGTTAGGTCCTTTGTTCATGAAAAATTTTAAAAGTATCCCAACGTCTCGCACATATAAGAGAAATTTAGGGAGTTGAGTCTTCCCACCACGCTAAAACTAGCATGCATGGTAGGTGTCGAACGACATCACGGTCGTTCACTTCAACCCCACCATGCTAAGAAAAGTGTGTATGGATCTTCAGATCTATCTATTTGAAATGCAGTTTTTCCCTGCAAGCACTAAAGCTCGTACACGGGTACTTAAAATTATGCATGTCATGCTAAGAAAAGCATGTACCGGGCCTACTGGCCTCACTGTAAGTGTTGTATCGGGTTCCCTCCTACAACGCTAAAAGAAGCATATATAGATGGTTTCCCGATGCACCACCAGCACTGAGGACGAGATTTTGAAGGTCTTCAGGTTTAAGCATTATACCTCGCAAATGACGCCAACGGTGATGTCAAGATGACGTCGACGAAAAATGAGCAAAATGTCTGTTTTTTACTTTTTTTATTTATTTTCCTTCTTTTTATATTTTTCTTCTCCCTTTTTTGCCATTTTCCATTTCTTCTCTGTTTTATTTTTTTGTATTTTTCTTTATACACACACATACAATAATAATAATAATAATAATAATAATGCTAATAATAATAAATATTATTAATAATCAATATTAATATAAAATAAATAAATAAAAATAACAGAGAGATTAGCAAGAGATCTCGATTGTTGTAGGAGGCGAATCGATCGAGTGGAGTGGAGATTGTGAAGCCGACGACTCTGGTGTGAAGAAGATGGGTTGGAGGTTGAAGGAGAGGGATCAGTCATATAGAGCTAGGTTGGCAGAGGGCTTATGGATGGGTGTGGGAGAGGGAGATCGAGATTGATCCAATCATTTGGAGCAACTCAAATCTGTCCCTATACTCCATGATGGTCCCCTCCTGAGTCGAGGCAAGGACTTGCTCGGCTAGGTCTCCTTCCTGAATGGCACGGAAATATTCTAACAAGCAATCCTTAAACTCCACCCACAAACAGATCATATATCTAGCCTCCAATTGGAAGTAAGAGAGGGCTTTCCCTTCCAGATATAACCTTGTGGCTGTAAGCTTCTCCTCTCTCAACCTAGTCACCGCGAAATACCTCTCCAACCGATATACCCATCCATGGGCATCCTTCCCTTCAAATACCAGCATCTTCAACTTCCTTGCCCTAGCATTACCACCGCCCCAATAGCTTCTTCCTTATATGGTGTAGCGGTTATTGTGATCCCTCCATATTATCGAGGGTTAGAATCTCATCTTTCTTCCACCTGCCTCACATGACCTAATCCCCATGGCTAGCTTGTCCCCGCGCTTCTCTAGCCGTCCACTCTCTTTGCCCAAAAGACCTCCCATGGTGGTCGGCCACCCCACCACCTCCACCACGAAACTCCCTTCCTGCTATCTCCCCATCCGAAAACTCTAATCCGCCCCTTATCGGAGCCCTAGGAGGTGGCTATTGACCACCTCCTTTTTTGATGGCACACTCCCCTTGCCAAAAATGCCTCTCATAGTGGTCAACCACCCTATTACCTCCAACAAAAAATTCCCTCCTTGTTGTCCCCTCATCCAAAAACCATAATTCGCCCCATATCGGAGCCCAGGAGTTGGCTCTTGATGATAAAAACACGTCTCGCATAACTCCTCCTATCCAATCTCCTTTCCCTTTAATTTGGCCAAGAAAATCCCGGTCAAATCTTGGTTAGGGATAGCCATTGGAACCACCGATGGAGTGTTTTATTGCATCTCCAAGAGCTTCCTCATCATCTCCTCTAGCCCTCCAAATCGGTATTCCAGGGATGAAAACTTTCCTTTCATGGTTGAAAATCTTCCTTCAATGGTTGAGAACTCCTAAATCCCGGTTTTGATTTTCTCCACTTCGCCTTTCAAAGCATCCATCTTATCTGCTACCATCTCTTCCAAAATCTCGCTCTAATATTAATTTGATGCGTCTTGGAAGTAAAAACAGCAAGTAGGCAATAAGAAAAATGTAGGAATCCAAACATTTGGGCATAAATATGCATATCTCTTCAATAAGATTGAAAGATACGACTGATCTACTATTCGAGAGGTAGATCAGCTATCCCATGAACCCTAGACGCCACTTGGAAGATCTCCAAAATAAAACTACAACAAACACAAAAATTATCTCATGCCCTAACCCTAGAAAAAAAAATTCTCTTAAATAGCCCTAGCACACAATAACATAAATAAAACATTCCTAAATAACATAAACATAATTTAGGAAACCTTCCTAAACAATTAAAACCATCCTAAACACAATAAGAAAACCTTCCTAAATAGCTTCCTTTGATCTCTCCTCCTTTTGTAATGCATGACAGCTCTTCTGGGCCCAACAACTCTAGCCGAACCCCCCATGGCTCCCTTCCTGATTCCACCCAGCCTCCTCCTGCTGTACCAGATGCTCACTCAAGAAATATCACCCCTTCAAAATTCTTTATAAAACAAATGTCCCATGAGTGATCCATAAACTTCAAGGTTGGTCCGAACCAATATAATGGTCAAGCCCAAATGCCGATTTAAAACTACTTAGTGATGATTCATGACCAGACATCTCTTGGTTTAACCTAAATTAATGGCTCAATTTAGTTGATAGCATTCACTCAACTATGCATAAACTATACCAAAAAATTAAGTAATTACTTATGCAGGATATTAGGTCATTCTCAAAATGACTTTCAATTGCATACAATTATTGTCAAAAGATTAATGTACACATTATGAACTCTTCAATTTACTCATCTAACCAACAACATTATAAAGAAAGGTTGATTGCATACAAAAATGGAGGAAGCAAATGCCAACTTATTTTCCCACCAGCATCTTCAACTAATCAAGTGCTATCAACTCAACTCAATTGACAAACCAATGTACAACCGCTCTCTAGATTACAGTTGCGGGGAAATTTTTCAAATTTTCATACGCTATAAGAGAGGAAGCCTTCTATCTACTTGTTGAAGGAATTCAGAATAAAAAGAGAATAATTTTCCCCACCAGATTGCCCATTGTCCATCTAATTCCACTTCTGTGATTTTCAACAATCCCATTTTCTAAAGCAGCTCTATCACCATGCTCCCTCAAAATTAAAATGATGTTAAAAATAATAATAATATCTAATAAGAAAAGGTGCAGTTGATAATTGCTACCATTTCAATCTATTTGAAGGCTCCACGCATACAACGTAGTCCAGGGCAAATGAAAAAATAAGGAATTAACTTACCCAAGCACGACCCGTGTGATGATTAACCTGAAATTTTGATGGAAGCATGATCTCAAGCCGTAGTCAAACTTTACAAGGACAATTTAGGAGAAAAATTTAGTTATGTTTAAATAAAAATCAAGACATGGAAATAATAGCATACTTGATTTAGGACAACTTCCATACCCAGATCCAGAAGAAGTACGTTAATTGGAATGCATTCTGCATAGAATATTTTTAAATGTCAGGCTTGAAAAAAAAAAAATTGCATAATCAGATAATCAAGTCATGAGAACAATTATATTGCAAATAGCATATGATGATAAATGAAACTTAAACTGCCACCCAAAAGATACAAAAAATAATGATAAAGAGTATAATCTACAAGACAGGTAAATTTAGGTGAATTTAATAGCAAGGAAAACAGGAACCAACCATAAACGATGTGAAATGTATTAAAAAGAGAATCAAGCCGGGATTCTTAAACCAAAAATGATTATCACTTAGTTGAACCAAAGGAATTCCTTGAACAACAGCATGTCTTTCTTTTATTTCAATTGCCATCTTAGCAATTATAGCCTGTAGATCTGTCCCAATAGCCAAGAGAATCTGCAGAAGTGGACGACAAGTAAAATTTTGAAGAGTTTGTTACAGTCCAATTATTGGTTAAGATCAACGGTTTATATATATCGTACAATTGGGGGAAGTAGTGACAACCAGAATAGTTCTTTCCATCCTGTTTAAACAAAAGAAGTTAACAGAGTTAAACGAATCTAAGAGAGCTAATATGCTTATTGAATACTTCGTTTAAAATTCTGCTTAATAGTATTACTTGCCGTGAACATTAAGCAGTAAGAAAACAACAGCAGAAGCCCACAGGAGAGGACTGGAAAAACATAAGAATGAGCCTAATAATAGAAAATAAAGAATAATCAAAGGTGACATTAATAACAATGAACTGCAGTCCTAAGACAAAATGCTTTAAGATTCTCAGTAAGAAAGCTCCCAAACTACTATCACTTGGGTGTCAAATACTATTTTACGGATGGGTGAACAAATCAAAGGTTAGAAACCAATGAGCTAGTAACTTCCAGTACCTGATTCCAACTACTACCTTGAAGTCGTCTTCCAGTGACCTTTGTATATATTTTCGGAAATTAAATTTGCTTCCGGAAGCCAAATGGACCTGAAAACATGTTCTGGCAATAAGAGATACAAACTATACATAAGACAAAATAAAAATAACATGTTTGTTGCAACTCACGTTGATGAAACCATGACGTAGAGTAAGGTAATCTGCTTTTCGAACAGATCTAAAAAATTGATGGAAGAAACAAACCTGTAACATAAGCATAATTAAACAAATTTCATTGAAAAGTTTAACAAACATAAGCATTACATGCAAAGTTGACAATACCAAATAACTAGAAGAGCATCAAATGATATAATAAAAACAGAAAAACTCAGTCAAGATATTCTAACAAAAAATTCGTAAAGTTTGATTTTTAATGGTAGCCTCATGAGCTTCAAGGTTTAGCATTATGATTTTGATGATAATAAATATATAATTGAAGGCTCTAATATGTTTATTAAGTGCTAAGAGAATCATTGAATCAAGACTGTTTAACACACAATACACTACCATAGGTTGCATAATATGTGCATTCAAGCGGCCATTAAATCACATTAGCATATTCATGACAAATGCAATGAAGCTCGAGACATGAGTTTCAAGGTTACATAAGGTTGTTAGTGTCATTGAGGTTCATATAGAATAAATTATATGACTCAACAAAATAAGTTCACTTAAGCATTTTAGATTTTGCCAAAAAAAAAAATATTTTTATTCATTTGAAGAAAATTGAATTTTGTGTACAAAATTTTGCAAAAATTAGATTTAAAGTTGATGTATTTTTAAATTTTTATATCTAATTAAAATTAATTAAACCTTTCTTATATTTATTATCAAAAAGTCATAATTTTTATACACTCATTTTCAGTCTCTGATTTTACTTTAGCTAGATCTAGAATTGATCAGAGTCAAAAAATCATATATCAATTCATATTTTTATGATAATGCAATTTTGGGAAATTAAGTATTTATTATTTTCAGAATTAAAATTCATATATTGTATTTTCTAGTTATCATAAAATGTAATGTTATTTTTCTCAAATTGTTTTCTATAAATTATTCTTTTTTTGGAATAAATTTTTTTAAATATTATACTTAGTTTTAATTTAATAGAAAACCTGTTTGTAAATGTTTAATTTGAAACACTTACTTCAAATCAATCAAATCAAATATCATAGGAAAACAATTAAGTAATTTTCCCTTTCAATTTTCCTTGTTGACCCTTCCCTTTTGAATATTGACTTGATTGCTATGAAATTCAAGTCAATTCATTGCTAATTAATAGGAATATTATATAACAAATTATATAACAATTAATCCTTGTAAACAACGAGGGGGGAGAGCGGGGCCGGAATAAAGAAATCCTAGTTTCTCTTGCTTTCATGGTCTAATTCTTCATTACAAGGGCTGCTTTTATTGTTTTCAAATTCTTTCTCTTTTTTCTCTTGGATGACAAGCTCTTATAGCAACATTCAAAGTTTCAAGAGCAAAATTATTGACTGTGATTCAAGTGATTATAAGATCATTGTTTTAATTTTATTGTGGTTATTCTCTTTTTTTTTTCCTAGATATTTTACCTTGATCTTTGCATAATATAGATCATTTAGTTTTCATTTCAAGAACTTTGTAGGTGGTTTTATTTTAAAATATCTGCATCAAAGGTTTTAATCATTCATAAGTTTGTCATTATTTATTTTTCTAAAAAACTCAAAAATAGCTTTGATTTAGTTTTTCGTTTTTTTTCAAAATTATTTCAAAGCAAAATTGTTTTAATCTACTACATATTAGTTTTCATATTTATTTATATTTAATAATAAATTATTATTTATCAAAATTTGAAGTTAATCAAATTAACTTATGAGGATAATATTTGTTCACTCTCACGATCCAATTCTTCATTCCAAGGGCTGCTTCTATTGCTTTCAAAATCTCTCTTTTTTCCCTTGGATAACAAGTTCTTATGGGAACATTCAAGGTTTCAAGAGCAAAATTATTCATCGTGATTGAAGTGACTGAAAGATCATTGTTTTAATTTTATTGGAGTTATTCTTTCTTTTTTTTTTCTCGATATTTTACCTTGATAGTTGCATGATATAGATCATTTGGTTTTAATTTTAATAACTTTGTAGGTGAATATTTGCATCAAGGGTTTTAATCATTAGTAAGTTTTTCAGTACATATTTTTCTAGGAAACTAAAAAAGAGCTTTGACATTGTTTTTCGTTTTCTTCAAAATTATTTCAAAGCAAGATCGTTTTAATCCACTAGAGATTAGTTTTCAAATTTATTTAAAATTGATAATAAATTATTATTTATCAAAATATGAAGTTAATCAAATTCAATTGTGAATATAATATTTGTTAAATCACTGTAACTTGCTCATAATTGTTGGGCGATCATAAAAGATTGTGAGATCACCAATTATATTTTTATTTTGCAAAAAGTTGAGATCTTATTAATTGTCTAGACTAGTTTTTATTTATTTTTTACCCAAGTTGTTAGCCTAGTGTGGTTCAAAAACTAGAACTTAGATTGAACTGGTATTTGCTCATGGAGAAGAGTACTTATATTGTATTGAACTTTTCTAATTATTGAGAAGTGAAATTTGTAAGACAAACTTTAGGGATATTGGAATCCTAGCCCGGCTATTGGCTAGGCGTCGACATTAGCCGGGTTGGTGGTCGAACCACGTAAAACTATAGTGTCTACTCTTTCATTAATTTTTTTTAATCTAGCATCTCATTTCCAAATATCATTAAAATTGTGTGTGGAGTTTTAATTAGAAGAAATTATATATTCCACATTTGTTTCAAAAGAAAATAGATTTTTCAAAAAGCATAATTCACCTTCTCTTGGGGAGCCATAGCCATCCCATATTTGGTATTTTAGTCGAGGCTTAATTTTATTTCTTCTAGTAAAAAAACCTAGAGTAGATCCATACATACACTGTCACAAGAGTTTTCCAAGGGTTCTTTACTTGAAGGCTAATCTACATATAGATCACCACTGCTTGACAATATGCCCTTTGATTATTGGAAGAATAGGGTTAGCATGTTTCTAGGAGGCTGACATGCACATATGTGGCACATGTATATACATCAACATCACACAACTGTTGAAGTTAATAAAAATTGAAAATCCTTGGAGGAATATACTGCAACCGAAAGGAAATTGTATAAATTAAATGTTAAGGCCTACAACACTCTTCATTATGCTTTATGATCTGATGATTATATAAGAATTTTATTGCTTAGAGTAACAAAGGAGATATGGGACAAGCTCATTTTTACATATAAAGGTACTAGTGAGATAAAAGATGTATACCTAAAAAAGTTGGTTCAAGAATATAAATGATTTCTACAAGAATGTTGATTATAATTTGTCTATTGCAGAATGTAATCTCCTTGCTGCACCTTCCTCCAGTGATGATAGCAAATATGTCTTATTCAATATTATGAAAGATAAATGCCTAGGTTCATATGGTTTTAGGGGTAATTTTTTTATGAACTCATGGAAGATTGATGGATCCCCCTTAATGGAAGCTATTCAATTCTTCTTCAAAAAATGATAAGCTTCCCAATCATTCTAAGATCAAGGCCAACACCTTAATCTAGAAAAATCTTCACACTAAAACAATGACCATATTTATTTAATTTAATTTACTATAAATTAGATTTCACATTTTTATTATCTATCAAGAGATGAAGTTTATCAAATCAATTTGTGAGCATAATATTTGTTAAATCATTGTAACTTATAGTTGTTGGGAGATATTAAGAGACTTGTAAGATGACCAATTGTATTTTTATTTTACAAAAAATCGAGATCTTATAAATTGTTTATAATAGTTTTCATAAAGAATAATAAGATTATCAATTATATTTTTATTTTGGCAAAAATCAATAACTTATAGATTGTCTAAATTAGTTTTTTTTTTTCAACTAAGGCTTCGTTTAGGACGGCATTTTTAATGCTTCTTAAAACAGCTTTTTAGTACAAAAACTAAATTTTTTTTAACTAGAAAGCTGCTTTAAGAAGCAGTAAAAAAGCTATCCCAAACGAAGCCTAAATCATTGACTTAATGAGGTTAAAAAATTATAATTTAGACTAGGATTGTACTTACCCGTAGAGGAAAGAATATAGACAGTAATCAATCTAAGTCTTGTTTTGCACTCATTTCAAAGTAAAGTAAATCCAAGGGCTTCAAAATAAATCTTGGGCAAATTTTAGTAACGATATCCTCACCCAATTTTTTTTTTTAAATATTTTTAAAAATAAATAATTCAATGATAATATTTGTTACGGTAGAAGTAAACTAGATCAGGCAATGATTACGATTTTTTAAACAAATTATTTTTATATAATTAAAGCCTTTTTCTTCAAAATTTACATAATGCAATAAGTAACTTTTATACAGGAGATCGTATCTTAATTCCATCACCTTCTTAGGACATTTGTAATCTTGACTACCACCCTTCAGAAAATTAGCTAACCAGAAAATAAACACAAGAGTACAAAAAAATCATGGGGAAAAAGTTAAACCAAGTGTACTGTGCTGTAGGTTTATATTCATTTTATGTCAGAAAAATTAAAAAGAATGTCAGATCCTCTATGAAAAGCAAGCTAGTGAATTAATACTTCTGGTTAAGCATAAAATTTCTACCACAACTTGCTCCAAAACTCAAAAAATAATGTGAGTCATTATGTAAATTGATGACAATGTTGAGAGAGAATATTTTACTTACAAAATAAACCAGAATGGGATGCCTGTCCCACAAAGTTGTGTGTTCTTTAACAAAGGATGTCTCACGGACTAATCTGAATCTTGAAGGATCTATAAATTGTCAAAAAAGAAGCTACAAGTATTCAATAAAATTTTTAGAAAGACAGAAGTAGATAGATAAATGAGGCTAAAATTCATTGCTCTGGGAGATTTCCATGTTCAAAAGAGGCGTCGACAACGAAATGATTCACCGAATCTTATATGACCCCCTTGAAGAGGTAAAAAAGATTATAACAAACAAAGTTCAAGTACAGTTCCATTCTTCCAGTAAGTTTTTACATATTAGAACAATTTTTTCTTTATGTAATTATCCAACATACCAATGATGTAGGAATTTATGGAAGAAGATAATGGAACGTAGGCTTATGGAAATCTCTGATTAATAGAAGGATTTGAAGCATCAAAGATTCACGATATGGATGAGAATATAACTACTATAGTTGATGTTGCGAGACTGATATGAACGTGTCACTTCTAAAATCAGGAGATAACAGCAGCATTAAATAGCAGCAGTTTTAAAACCGCTGCTATATATTAACTATAGTAGTGATTTAAACCGCTGCAATCACAAAACAAAAAATACAGTATTTTCACAGCACTTATTACCAACAGTTTTTACTTTTGATAAAATTCAATATGTTTTTTCTATTCCCGCCCTAGCCGAACATTCTTTAGTGCTTCATCTTCGCCCTAGGCATACCGGAGCCCGCCTTCGAAACCTGGCTTCGCGACTCTGGTACAGTACTCCTCGTTGCCCATCCGCTTTCCTTCCTCGAAACCTCTACCGCTGAAAAACCTGGCTGCCGCCATCACTGGGGTAATATCCCCCATCTACTTCTTTCTCCGAACCCTCGCTTCCCTTTTCACTATTAACCTATTCTCTAAGCTAACGCCAGAGGACTTCGCTGGTAAGACGCCATCTTGGACGCTGCAGTTCGTCGGGGACACTGGATCCTACTCTTGGCCCAGCGTGCCCTCCTAGGCTATGGTTCTCCATGGTGGAGTTGTTCTTCTTTTTGCTCGTTATCAACAAATCAGCACTGGAAAAAGGATCAGACAAACTTATTTGTGCGGAGTTAGGTAATTTTTCCCCAAATCAAATTTCCCAACTTTTTTTTGTTCTCTTTCAGCTTTTTCTTCAATGACCATGGAGGCCAACGGCGGATATAAGCGGGGTCCCGCGGGGGCACATGCCCCCTCTGCGAAACAAAAAAAATCCCGTTCTGGATGTTCGTTTCAGTGCTTACCCTAAATTTTCCAGCTTAAAGCTCTCGCTTCTCGCGAGTCGCGGCACACAGGCACTCGTATTCGTCGTGTCGGCGTCGTCCTTGTCCCTTGCCTCCGCCAGTTATTCCGTTCGGCGACCATCCCTCATTCGATTGGGATTTGAAGGGTGTGTTCTTGCGAAGTTCTATTGCAGGTTCCACACCACGAGCACATTAATTAACTTTTTTACTTTAATAACATATTTTCCATAATTACGCCTTCAATATGTCCTCAACCTCGCTAGGTATTATTTTGTGTGAAGGACCGAAATTTGTACATAGGGTTGGAGGTCGATCCCGTCGTCGTCGGCAAACTTCTTGCTTCAGTTCTCTGATTTGTCATTGGCAAACGGCTTTTAGTTGCAGAATAATCAGCAAAGGCAAGGTTCACGCGATTTTTCTCCTTTTGATTTTAAGCTTGCAGAGTACCTAAAAAAGATGTCTTGCTTTTTATTAACTATATTTATGGCCAATGGTTGTATTTGATTCAAGTTTAACCTATGGCATTTTTTGATCTATGCTTGGTAAATTTGTCCTTATGTTAGTTTGAGTTACAAATTGCATACCCTTACTTTGCAATTGGTTGGAATCTGAATGGAGTGTTTTTTGTATTCTACAAATTTCAGATTTAAGGAAGTCGGAAGCAAGTTTTTTTTTCGATTGCAAATGGGTTTTCTCAAATCAATTTCTATTAATTGAAGTATTTTCCATTGGTTTGCTGAGTATGCTGTTATATTCACAACTCATTTGTTTGCATATTTTGTTTTATTTTCGTTCTATTGTTTTTTTAATGTATAAGTTTGTTGAGTTAATTTTAAGTTTTGTTTATAAGTTTTGCTGAGTTTGCTGCTTCCTTTTCAAAATTTTTAGTTAATAAATTTAGTACTTCATCTTATATTTAGTACTTTGTTTTTTTAAAAAAAAAATTAAAATGGACAATGCTGGTACCAAGCCCGAATAAAAAAGTTAAGGGGATTTAAAAACAAAAAATTAGGCCCCCTCTATGAAAAATTTCTGGCTCCGCCACTGATAGAGGCCATTTGTCAAGAAATGTTATGAGATGTTTGTTTTCACATAATGGGTCTCACAAATTCTATTCTCGATATATTTTAAGAAAATGCTTCGTTGTGACAGAAATTCCTTTAACTTACTATGACAATTCCACCGTTGTTTAGTGAAAAGTAGTCTCATTAAGGAATGATGAGATGGAATGGTATTTTTAGTGACAACTGAATGTAGGTTGTAGTTAATTTTGATCCTGTAACAAACAATGGCTCAAGTGGCTCCCAAAGTTTTCCTAAAATACTTCACTTATCACGAGTTATTTGTTTCAAAATGCTTCCTTCTAGGATAGAAGTTGAATTATATAGAATGGCAAAACATTTCCAACTATTTTTGTTACATATTCAAAGTGTGATTGTTAACCCACCCATTGAGCCTATTTATTTAATATGAGATTCTCTGAATGACTTATGAATGAATAATGACAACTATTTGGTGTCTTAATGAAAAATTAGAATGATTTTTTAAAAAAATTTGAAAATGTGACCATTATCATGTTTTGCTGAGAAAATTATTTGGTTCGAAGCACACATTCACTACAAATTTATGGAGTTTTCCTTCTGGCATCACTCATTTTCTAGTTGGTTTGAGAATTTCAGAGAAGCAGTTCATAATGTTTCTATTTAATGCAATATGAAGTGCAAGAAAATCATGCTCTGATTTTGGTTGCTACCTGAAATTTTCTGGTATGAAGCTTGTTGGAATATCAATACTGCATATATTTACTTGTCAAGGTCTATATTTTAAGTTTCATTGAACATGGTTTCTTCTGTGCAATGTCTTTGGACCTTATCTACTTTATTTCTAGTGCTCTTGTAGGTGTCTGTCCTCTGGTTTTCTACGGAGCAATGATTTTGGGGATTGTTATAAATGCTGTTGATTCTATCACTATTTATTGTAATAATATTGGCTGTTATGGGTGGCTAAAAAAAAGTGAAAGAGCAATTTTTGTCTACCTATGGAAATAAAAAAAAATGCAAGGAGATCCAGTTGCAATATTGACAGCATAACTACTACCTTTGGAAAGATTTAAAGAGCAGTTTTTTCAAAAATTGTGTGGATTTGTATTGCTCCCTTGGAAGGTCATTGAGCATAACTACTACCTGTGAATTTTTGGTATCAACTTGTTCCGTGCTCTATTATGCATTATCTAATTTGTTGTTGTATGATTTTTTATAATGGGTTAGCTATAAATTTTGCTGCTAATTTTATCATGAAATCGAACATGTTGCATGTTGCTGGTTTTGTCTTTATGTTATCATGTAGTTCTATGTGTTTTATTGGTAGATTTTTAGCTTGTATTTATTTATGTAATTTTTTACATCATGCTTATTTTCTAAAATTTTTCAGGTTGAAGAAAAGAAGCCATAGTTGAGAAGAAGATAAAGAAGGAGAAGATGAAGATAGTGAAGATCACACTCTATTTGAAGAACAATTGCATCATTGGGGAGAACAAGAGGGTTAGAGAGATGGCGCTTTTCCACAGTCAAGAGAACAAAGTACTCCAGTTTCATATCCAAGACATGATGAAATCCAACATCCGCACTTTCCAAAGCTAATATATGCATATTTCTGATTTCTGGTTAGGCTAGCATAGATGTCTGTAGGTGTGTATACAACAATAACTTAACAGGATGAATTGGAAAATGATTTGTGCTCATAAATTCTATTGATCGTATATGCTTGCTCTGTTCCTATTTTTTCATCTTTGTTTATTGATTGTTTTGTTTGGAAATATCATGAAACATAACAACTACAGTTTAAATAACACAATTAGTAAACCATTAAATAACACAATTAATTTATATTTGTATAGTATTTTATTGATATTTATAATTTGATCACAAAATTTATTTTTCAAGCTTTATATTTTTTTTTAATTTATTCTACCATTTAGCAGCGGTTTTAACACCTGCCAAAAAGTGCTGCTAAAGCCTACCTACAGCAGCACTTATAAAATCGCTGTTAAAGCCTTTCCAGCGAAAGCAAATACAGCAGATATGTAACGGTTTCTAAACCGCTGCAAATAAATTAATAGGTGTTTAAACCGCTGCCGTAGGTCCAAAAAAGTGCTACGAAAGCCTAATTTATTAGTAGTGTGTATTGAAAATACTACATGATAAGGGAATATCAAAAAGAAAAAAATATAAGCTAGACTAGTTTCAATATATGGATTCAAGTGTTGGGCAATACAACAACAACATCAAGCCTTTATCCCACTACGTAGAGTCAGTTATATGAATCATTTTTCTCCATTGTGTTCTATTAAGAATCAAATTTTCATTTAAATATAATTAAAAAGTCATTTTGAATACTTCCTAATCAAGCCTTTTTAGGTATGCCTCTATCAGATCTTAACACATCTACTCTCTTAAACGGATCATCAGAAGGCCGACGTTTTATGTGACCAAATCATCTAAGACAATCTTATCTGCCACGTAAGTTACTACAACCTTTTAACGTATATACTCATTTCGCATTCTGTCTCCAAGTATAAAACCACTCATCCACTTGATCATTCTCACTCTACTACACTTAATTTTGTGCTTCTCTTTTAATGGCCAACATTCCGAGCTATAAAGCTTTGTAGGTCTCACCACCATCTTATAATTTTTTCCCTTAAGTTTGACAGGTACTTTTCTATCACACAACAGGCCCAATGCATTCCTTCACTTCAACCACCAAGCTTGAATTCTACTAATAATGTCCCCATCTATTTCACCATCGCTTTGAACAATAGACTCGAGATATCTAAAATATGCACTCTTTTTAATGACTTGATCACCCTAAGTCACAATACCACTACTAGATCTAGTACTACTGAAATTACACTTATGTATTCAATTTTAGATCTACTCAAATGAAAACTTTTAGACTCTAAGGTTGACCTCCATAATTCAAGTTTTCCTTCAACTATCTCTCTCTAGTCTTATCAACTAGGAGAATATCATCAGCAAAAAGCATACATTAGGATACATACTCTTGCAAATATCTAGAAAGAACATCCATGATTAAAACAAAAAGATATGAGCTTAAAGTTGATCCTTCATGTAATTCAACTGGAAAAAAAAAAAAAAACTTTGTCAAGCCCCCTTTTATTTTGAACACAAGTGATAGCTTCAATATACATTAAATGGTAGACGTACCCGGCATATTAACTCCTTTCTTTCACAGAACTCTACAGAGCACTTATCTTGGAATATAAGCATTATTAACTCCATACTTTCTAGAACTCTCCAAAGCACTTATCTTCTAATATACATTAATAACTTTAATATAAGCATTATTAACTTCTTTCTTTTCTAGAACTCTCCAGAGCACTTATCTTGGAATATACATTAATGACTTGAATATAAGTATTATTAACTCATTTATTTTCTAGAACTCTCCAGACTACTTATCTTGGACCTTTATCATATTCTTTCTCTAAATCATTAAATATCATATATGGATCCTCCTTGCTCACTCTATACTTCTCCATCAAACCTCTCAACAAATGTATAGCTTAACAACCTACCCGGCATGAATCAAAACTAATTTAAAGAAACATTAGTATCACATCATAACCTAATCTCAATTACTCTCCCATAATTTTAATGTATGACACATTAACTTAATTCCTCTACAATTCATACACTTTTATGCATCACCATTATTCTTAAAAATATGAACTAACTCACTCCTTCACTCTATGGAATCTTTTTGGTCTTCAAAATAATATTAAAAGATTTATTAAGGTAACAAATTCATTGATCTCATAAGCATTTTCACATTTCTATTAGAATATCATTAGGCCTAGGCCTAAGTTTTATGTGTCCAAACCATATAAGGTGACTCTCTCTAATCTTATCTAGCACTAGAGCTACTCCAACCTTTTCACTTATATACTCGTTTCGCATTATATCTCTGAGAGTGAAACCACTCATTTACCTAAGCATCCTCATCTCAGCAACACTTAACTTAATTTTATGTTTCTCTTTTAATGGCCAACATTTTACACCATAAAGCATGGCAGGTCTCACTAGCATCTTATAAAATTTCCCTTAAGTTTGAGGGGTACTTTCTATCACACAACATGCCCAATGCATTCTTTCACTTCAACCATCTAACTTGAATTCTACTAATAATATCCTCATCTATTTCACAATCATTTTGAATAATAAACTGAGATATCTAAAACGTGCTCTTATTAATGACTTGATCGCCCAAAGTCATAATCCCCACACTAGATCTAACAGTAATAAAATTACAATCCATGTATTTAATTTTAGATATACTCAAATGAAAACCTTTAAACTCTAAGCCTCTAAGGTTAAACTCCATAATTTCATCTTTCCTTCAACTTTCTCTCTAGTCTTATCAATAAGAAAATATCATTAGCAAAAATCATACACTAGGGTACATCCTCTTGCAAATGTATAGTAAGAACATCCAAAACTAAAGCAAAACGATATGGGCTTAAAGCTCATAATTGATGTAATCCAACTGAAATAGGAAAATACTTAGTCAAACAACCTTGTGTTTGAACACAAGTAACAACTCCTACATATATATCCTTAATGATTTGAATATAAGCATTATTAACTCTTTTCTTTTCTCCAAATAATTTAATTTTTTAAATACATATAATATTTATCTTCTTATGAATCACAATATCTATTAATTATATTAATTTGTCTATAAGAGAATATATATTCCAAATTTCTATCATAATTTTAGTTTCATGAATCAGTTTCTTTGCCCACATCCATCCATGATATGGGAATCCTTATTTTGTATTGCACCAGGGTGCCAGTGCAACAACCCTTGCACATTTTTTGTTGTGTTTAGGCCATAAAGCGTGTTGTTTTTAAGGAATGTCCTAGCATAAACATAATGTATTGCATTAAAGGAATCATGCTGTGATTATTCAATAAGTTTTACATTAGTTGTCGACTACCTAACGCAACTCTTCACTTTTCTCATCTAAAGCTTGAAACATGATAGCGATAGTGTTAAGCAATAAATAAGTCACTAATAGCCAAGTTGATTTGCAGAAAAAATATAGTTAAGACGGATGGATGATAAAACTGAAAAACATATTATATTAGTAGAAGGATGAAGCAACTATTAATAATAATGTAGTGAAAAACAAATTTAGATGATTTATGCATGTATAATGAAGGGCAAACAAGTAGATAAAACTAACATACAAAAGTATTATGCATCTCAATAAGAATTAATAGAGAGTAATAACTCATGAATCCAACCCTCAATTGTAGGGTAATACTAATATGATGATTATGTTGACCAAATTGGTGTATGGGTTTTATTAACAACATAAATTAATCTTGGACTTGAAATATTTCTATTGTCTAAGATGAAAAATATACCATGAGAGAACTCATAGTTCAGGGATTGGGTCTCCATTTCCCACTTCTTCCATCTGCGAATCTGCACAAAACCCCACTCCACAAAATAAATAAACAATTCAACTCATTTTTGAAAGTTCAAAAAAACAAACCAAAATCAATATTTAAAACATGCAAAACAGGATTACCTTCATTCTTCCCATAGCCATTGTTAGAGCACTACATAAAACATGAAAGACTGCCAGGAAAAATATGAAGATATGTAACTGATGCAATCCATTTATTGAAACAAATGAGACTTTCCCCTGCAAACATGAATGCATACATGATAATGAAAAATAGTGATAAAACTTTAAGCAATATGAGGATAAATCATCCAGCAGCCAAAGGTAAGAGTAAGTTTCTGAATTAAAAGACAAATACTAAAAATTGGCAGGAGTCTGACAAGAAGAACATGCAGAACGTCATGTTGCTATTTACCACAGTAAAACAACATGGTGAAGAGAGACTCCAAAAAAAATTAGGACTCACACGGGGACATGTGGTAACCGTAGATTCGGCAAGGGACCTCCGTGTAGGTGCTGAATCTCCAAAATAATTCAATAAAAGCCTTCTCCTGTTTTCTTTCTCCTCGTTGCCATTATCAAGGCGGCATGGAAGCATGGTGTTTGCCACACCAACAGGTATGCAGATTTTTGCAATGTAGTTTTGTCCAAAAGTCAGCAGCAAGGAAATAAAGCCAAGAACCATCAACTCTGAATTTTTTTGTTTAAGTAAAAAACATCATAAGAGAAAACGCGCCATCTTATGATAGTAAAACGAAGAAGAAGAATTCTACATGTGTTAATATAATATGGTTGGAAGCCGTTAATGCTTAGTATTATTCCAAATAATCATTTGGAATACATGCAAACACCATAGAGCGTGTAAAGCAAAACAGATAATTCAGATTCCATAAAATTGCCATTAAAAAAGGAAGGAATCAAATGTCCGAACATCTTACCTGACTTAATCTTCTCAAGGGCATCAAACAGAGCCGTTTTGTGCTTAGCTCTGAACCACTGAAATTTTAAATTTATATCAATAAACAAAAACAACATGTCCTTGTAAAAAGCCTTAGCGCATCCGAGTTTAAAATTTATATATTTATTAGAAAAAATAAACCAACTTGTATTTGGTTTGCGATAACTTAAACATATAAACAGAGAAACATGCAAAAAAGAAGAAGAAGAAAACCAAGTATGAGCAAGCGAGGAAGTGACTCAAACCTGCCCAAGTCGAAAGAGAAGCTTCTCAAGGAAGAAAGAGATGAGGATGATGACCGCGCTGACGACCGCCACTGCCCATGTCGGCGTCCGGTTGAGGTCCCTCCACTCACCACCTCCTCCTCCCCCCACCATTAAACCCAAAAGGAAGCTACTCGAGGTAGTCGCGACTCCTCTTCACATCCACCTGCTGTTCTCCAACAGAGAAAGAGTGCAAGCCAGAAACAAGAGAGAATGTGAGGAAGAAGAAGACGAAGAAAGTATCCACCGAGTTGCCTGAATCCTCCAACGGTACGGCGTGGAAGAGTCATTGTTGCTTATGTGTTTCAGTTTAGTTTTTTGCTTGTTTTACATCAAAGCCGGCCACTTGAGACACCTCACCCGTCCTGCCATTTTTCCTCCGCCCTTCCATTTCTCCTCCGGCCAATTCCGATTTAAAATCCTTAATATTTAAAATATTAAATTTAGCTATATAATATTTTTAATTTTAAAATTATATTAACTAATTTAAGATAAAAAATATATATATATATATATATATATTTATGTAATTTTATTTTTATATTAAGTAGAGGCTAGTCATCATAGGATTTTAAAGCTTGTTCATTATAAATATCAAAAATATATAACCATAAAAGAACTCTTGATTATTTATTAAATTCTCATGTTTATCTTTTGCAACTTGTGGAATGAAGCTTTGTAAGTTGATCTTAACCTTAGAGAGGTTTTATGGCTAATCCTATAGTACCCATTGAGAATTAGTGTACAATTGTATATGTTTTGACTTGTAATAGCTCGTATTTTAACCGAATTAAATAATTATTTCTAGGAGTTAATGTAAGTTCAAATCACAAATCATCTTTATCATAACATAGATATTATAATGATTCAATTACACCTTTTTTTTTTGCATTGGTGCAAATCTTTAAGAAATTGACACATGTCGGTACAAGTAGAAATTTTGGGATTGTCAAGTGTTCATTTTACAAATCGATTTTACCATACTTTTTTTAAATAATATGAGCTATTTTACTAGTATTTTATGATTTTTTAAGCCCCAAAAAATATATATGAATTTTATACTAAAATGATTAAATTATATAATTATATAATTTTTATTTTATTATTTTATTATAAATATCTAATACAACTTAATGCTTTATTAAAATCTATTTTCCTTTAATCCATATTATTGCAACTTAGGAATCCAGCTTGAGAAAGTGTCTATGATGATAGAAAAAATATTATTTTTCTGATTAATTTTATCATTTCTCACGAGCATGTATTAGACATTTTGTTTATTATTTGTGTGTACTAATATTTAAGGAAAATCATACTCCATACTACTGAAGACTTCAAGATAGAATAGATTAGGATTTCATGTAAAGAAGTCTGTAAACTTTTTATTTTTATTGAGTTTGAGAGAGTGATTGTAATTGGGTAATCATGCACACACACTAGCGGAGAGAGAGAGTTAAAACTTAAAATTTTAAAACTAATCATATTGTATGATCTTTAATCATACTAGATGATTTGTTATTTTTCCTCCAAAAAGAAGTTAATCAAATCATGTCTTTTATTTTTTTATTGTTCATATTGGATGACACTAGTTCGTACAGACAACTAATAGAGAACGAAATGGGGTTGTTCATATTCGTACCAAATGAAATATGATTTGTTTTAACTGTTCATACTATATGATGTAAGTTCATACATACATCTAATAGATTACGAAATGAGGTTCGTATAGGATCATACGAGACAAATAGGTCAGTTTTGAACTATTCATACAGTACGATGTTAGTTCATATAGACAACTAACAGAGTATGAAATTAGATTCGTACATGTCATAACAAACGAATAGATCAATTTTGAACTATTCATATAATACAATGTCATTTTGTACAGATGATTGATAGAGTATGAAATCAACTTGTACAAGATCGTACTAGATGAATAGATCAATTTTGAAATGTTCGTATAGTACAATGTCAATTTGTATGGAAGACTGACATAGTACTAAATGAGGTTCGAATAGGATCGTACGGGGATTTTTGAATTGTTCGTACAAACGATCATCGATTATACCGTACGATCCTATGTAGGTTGACTTAAAATTTTCAGTTTTATGGATAGTTTTTCTTGTGTTTCATATATAAGTTTCCTAAAAATTGACACTCAATACCTTTGCTATAATTTTCTCTTGAAAGTGACCATTGAGTGTGAGTGTTTGGGAGAGATTGTGAGAGTAAAGAGTGAGAGATCAGTGAGGGAGAGTTGTGAGGGATTCACAAGGCTATTCAAAGCGAGGATCACTTTCTTCCTTCTTCAATTTTTTTTTCCATCTCCTTGGAGGCTTTTGAGAGAAGATCTTCAACATTGTGTCATGGTTCTTTATAGTCACCAGGAGGGTGAGAAAGAATGTTGGTACTTTGCTGTCACTAAGAGGGTGAGAAAGGACATTGGTACTCTATCATCACCAAGAGGGTGAGAAAGGGCATTAGTACTCTGTCATCACTAGGAGGATGAGAAAGGATGTTGGTACTCTACCGTCGTTAGGAGGGTGAGAAAGAACGTTGGTACTCTGCCTTCACTAGGAGGGTGAGAAAGGATGATGGTACACTGTCATTATTTAAACAATGTAAAAGGCGTTAATCCTCTACCGTACCAGGTTGGTGGAAGAGAGGTTTTATAAGGGTTTCTCCACCTAACTGTGCGAGCAAAAGCAGAGTCACTTGTGATTAGTGCAATACCTGGAGAAAAAGTCTCAGAGAGTGGACATAGGTCTAGTTAGATCAAACCACTATAAAATTTGATGTTATTTTATTCCTTTATTTCTATTACATTTTTATTTTTGCGCTTTATATTAATATGATTGAAAAATATTTTGTGAAAAATCTTTTTTTATAAATAACCGTATACTTGAAGTTCATTGAGTAATTTTTTAAATAATTTTCTAAAATTTAAGAGATTTTTTAAATTATTAATTCATCCCTATCTTGGTTAGCCTTGGGACAGTTCTATTAGGTCTAATAACCTACATGAACTTTCAAGTGGTATCTGAGATTATTTCAAAAATTAAAGTTTATATAACTTTTTTGAAAACACGATCATTACTACTTTTTGAAACTAGAACACTCCTGAGGGTTATTAGATCACTAGACAATCGCTATTTGATAACATTCCTTTCAACTTTTGGAAAACTCATATATCTACTTTTATATAATTACTTGATTATAGTATATGGATTTTAGTATAAGAAGATTACACAAAACCCACTAGACTTGTTGAAGGCATTAGAGTTGAAACACCATTCACTGATTGGATACAATATGAAAATGACTTAGCTCAGTTAAACACAAATTGTTTAAATAGTTTTTTATGTGCCCTAAAATATGAGGACTACATGCATGTTTCAACCTTTAAAATTAGAAAAAAAAAAATATGGGATAGACTTTGCATAACGTATGAAGGAACTAATGAGGTGAAATAATCTAAATTGAACATTCTATTACACGACTATAAACTTTTTTGCATGAAATCGAGCGAGTCAATCTCTGACATGTATACATGTTTTACTCAGATTGTTATCTCATTGCATGCTTTAGGTAGGGAACTAATGAATTCAGAAAAAGATAATAAAATTCTTCATTATTTACCTACTACTTATGATGCAAAGATAACTACCATAACATAGTAAAAATTTTGAACATATATTTTATTGACAATCTACTTGGATCACTAATTGTTTACGAGCAAGGAATGACTCAAAGATAGATTGATACAGGTGACAAGCAGAAGGAGAAGAATATCGCATTAAAACTGAATGATTCTGATAGTGTCCAATCACTTCCTGAGGGTAAAGTAGATATTACACTCATAACGAAATAATTTAAAAGTTTCTTAAGAAGAAAGTAATAAAGACAATAATAGTTGAACAAAGGTAAATTCTATAAGAATATAAAAACTTCTAATGATGTCATTTATTATGAATGTAGAAAGTCTGGACATATTAAAATCGACTACCCGAATCTCAAAGCAAATCTTGACAAGGAGAAAGTTGAGGAGAAAACCAATGTTAGGAAGAGAAAGAAAATAATGTAAAGAGCTTTCTAGGCTAACTCAGCTTCATACTCCTCAGAAATAGAAACAGAAGAAGAAGTCACAAACTTGTGTATAATGGCAGACCGACTTGATCATTCGGATCAAGAGGAGGTATGTGATTTATCCTATGACAAATTATTTAAAGTTTATGAGAAAATACATACTATATATAAGAAACTCAAAAAGCTACATGCTAAATTGAATAAATAATTTTTAAATTTATGGAAAGAGTATGAAATCCTTAGGAACGATCACACAAACATATATAGCAATCATGTGGCCTTGTTGGATGAATTTGATAATTTGAACAAAAAGCATGAATTATAGAAATCATCACATACTAAACTTGAAAATAATTTTATGGTGTTTATGGATGTATCGGATCAAAGAGAATATGAGTTGAAAGTTGACAATTCAATTTTTAGTGAAATGGATAATAAAATAGAAAGGGATTTAATGGATTACACTTAATGACTTATGATATTTATAATAAAATAATAATATAATTTAATCAATTTTTTAGTATAAATTTCATATCAATTCTTTTGGGAGTTCAAAAATTATAAAAAAAAATATCTATAAAATAGCACATTTTATTTAAATTTTTTTAGTAAAATTAGTTTATAAAATGAATAACTAGCTATCCCAAAATCCCCACTTGTATCGTTAGGTGTCAATTTCTTAAGAATTTGCACAAGTGCCAAAAAAAAATTATGAAAACAATTATTTTAATTAAATCACTATAATATATATGTTTTGGAAAAGATGATTTGTAATTTGGACTTATAATTACTTATAAAAAATTATTTGAACGGGTCAAAATATGGGCTATTACATTGTAATACCCTTATAATGAATCATATATTAGCGCAATTTATACAGTGATAGCATTTTTAGCATTAATAACATTGATAGAATTGAAAGATATGCAGAGAAATATGTGTGCATTACATGTCCTAATTTTATAAGAATAAACAATTGATAAGATAGAACAGACTGATAACATGGATCACTACAGGAAAAATGAATATTTTCGACAAACAAAAGCTAACATAAATGAACTTTTTTTTGCCAAAAATATGGAATTTTCGGTGGATTTCTAATGGAAAATGTTTTGATGGTAATTTATGCATCGAAAAAATGTTTCTAACGAAAAAAGAACTGCTAGAAAAATTTCTGGTGGATTCACCAGCAGTTCTCCAACGAAAATGTTACATTAAAAAATGATGATTCCATAATCTTATTTCCATCATTTTTTTTTTTTGCTGGTATTTTGGATGGATAATAACCACTAGAAATACCAGTGGTAAAGCAGCCAATT